CCCGCCTCACCTGGCCATCTTTTGCTGTGACGACGTCTACTATGATGCCTTTCGGCCAACAGTTTCTTGCCATAGATTCGTCAACAATTACCACTACGTCGCCAACCTTTAAAGGGGGTTGCTTCTCGAACCACTTGGATCTCCGCGTTAGGATCGGCCGATACTCTTGCACCCATCTCTGCCAGAACCTATCCACATAAAGTTGCGTTTGACGATAGCGTTGACGCAGGTCTCCGCTGGTTCCAATTGGTTTGTAGCCTGAGGATGAGCCCATTAATATGTGGTTCGGCGTGAGTGCTTCATCGTCGCACCCGTCTATGGTAACGAAGGTAAGCGGTCTTGAGTTGATCATGAACTCAACTTCTAAGAGAGCGCTACGAAGGGTTTCATCGTTAAAGTTGTGCTCGGGATGCATTCCATTTAACACGGTCTTGATCGACCTTATAAGACGTTCCCACGCTCCGCCCATATGAGGCGCCGCCGGTGGGTTGAAGTTCCACTTAATATTGTCAAATTTGGTCTGGATAGTTGCGTAGTCTACTTGATTCGCTTCGATACGCAAGATATTGTTGGTCGCTTTGAAGTTCGTGCCGTTATCGGTGTAGATTTCTCTCGGTACTCCGCGTCGTGAAATAAAGTTGCGTAGGCACAAGACGCAGGAGCTTGTGTCGAGGCTGTAGGCGATCTCTACGTGGATGGCTCTAACCGTGAGGCACGTGAAGATTACGCCCCAACGTTTTTCTCGATGCCTGCCGACAGCGACGAGCATTGGGCCAAAATAGTCGATCCCAACATAACTAAACGGTCGTTCGAAACTTGCGAGTCTAGCGGCAGGTAAGGGAGCCAGTTGTGGAGGACGAGGTACCGCGAATTTATTTTTGCAGGTTTGACACATTCGACGTACCATGCGGTACAGGACACGCAGTCGCGGTATATGGAATCTCCCTCTTATTTCGTTTATTGCAGTTTCGTGTGATATGTGTTGATACCTTTCGTGGGCGTCTTTAACTATAAGGTAGGCGACGTGATGTTTACCCGGCAGAACCACAGCACTGCGAGCTGCGAGGAATTCGGCCCGACCTCGAACACGTATGACATCAAACTCATCTACAAATACATCAAGCGCGTTTAATTTACTACTTTTTTCAATACTCTTACCGCTTCTTAGGCTAAGTAGATCGTTTTCATACTCGCTAAGCTGCGCCTGAGTTATTAGTGCCGTTTTTGCTGCTTTAACCATTTCAAACGTGACCCTGTTGGGAAGTTCCCGGGACCGAGACCTTGCTTTGACTTTTTCTATGTAAAGAATGAATCTAGCCAGCGCACGATACAGCCTTCTCCAGTTTGAAAAATATTCGAAGTTGATAGTGTGTTTCTTCTGTTCCAGCTTCCGGATATGTAGTAAATGATTTTTCACTTCGCTGTTGTCGACTGGTCCCAGGTCGTCGCGGTAGGGCCACTTGCTTTCATCGTATTGCAAGAATGTGGGACCATTAAACCAAAGGCTTGCGTCAGTTTTAGAGTCAACCTTAGTTGCCCGGTCCGAAGGGTTTAAAAGCGATGGTACCCATTTCCACTGGTTCAAATTCGTTCGCTCCAAGATGTCAGCAACTCTAAACATTACGAATTGGCGGAACTGTCGGGGATCCATACCGAGCCATTTCAGTACCGTCGTTGAATCCGTCCAGAATATTCTCTTTTTTATTTGTAGCCGTGATATGCCTTGTATCTTTGAAGCCAGTCTCGCACCCAGTACGGCTGCTTGAAGTTCCAGACGGGGGATTGATACCGGGTTCAGAGGTGCCGCCTTTGATTTAGCAGCTACGATAGAGACGTCGATGCGGGAGCCACTTTTGACGCGCAGGTAGCATACCGCTGCGTAACCAAATTCGCCGGCGTCTGCGAAGGTATGCAGTTGAACATCTTCAGCGACATCAAGATGAAATGAGTAGCACCTGGGTATTTCCAGTTTGGCCATGGCTGATAGAGCGATCTTCCACTGGCACCATTTTGACTCCATTGCGGCGTCGATCTCTTCGTCCCAATCTAAGCCTGAGCGCCATATTTCTTGGAGTAAAATTTTTAGTGTTATGGTATAGTTAGATAGAATACCAAGAGGGTCGAAAATGGACATTAAGACCTGAAGGATCTCGCGCTTTGTTGGTGTAGTGTCGCCTGCTACAACGTTTCGCTTTAGTCTTGTGAACCTGAGCGCGTATTTGAATACGTCTTTATTTGGATCCCAGTATACTCCTAGAATCTTTTCGTTCGAATTCAACTGCAATGGTTCTTGAGTCCTATTGCAACTGCCTTCCATATGTTTTAAGACCACTGCTGAGTTTGATGCCCAGTTTCGGATATGAAACCCGGCGGCGGCGTGTATATGTTTTACCGTTTTTGCTAGTTGTATGACAGCCTGTTCGCTATCCCCGCTGTAAAGTCGTCAACGTAATGGTAACGTGTTATAGCATCGACGGCTTCCGGAAATTGTTGAACGAAGGTGTTCGCGTTTTTGTCGCGCACATAGTGCGCAATGCACGGAGCGCAGCTTATACCGAACGTGAGGGCGCGCATGACGTAGACGCTGGGTTGGCTAATGTCGTCCTCGTTGTCCAGCCAAAGAAACCTTTGCACGTGCATATCGTTATTAGTTACATTAATTTGGTGGAACATTTCGGCGATATCGCCGCAGATGGCGACCTTTCCGATACGGAATTTCAATAAGATGTCGACTAAAGGGATCAAAAAGTCGGGCCCGCCTAAAACGGCGTCGTTAAGCGCTACTCCTTTACTTTTAGCTGCTGCGTCCCAGACTAGGCGCATTTTCCCGGGTTTATTTGGGTTGCAAGTCACGAATACTGGCATGTACCACACGCGTCCTTTATGTGCTACTAGCTCAGCTGTGTTCAACTTCTTTGCGTATCCCTTAGCCAAAAGGTTGTCGATCTGCTTCTGCATAGCCGTGACGGATTTTTGCGAAATTTGTTGTTGAGGCACACGAGGTGTTTGTAGGCCATTTCGTAGCTGTCGGGCAAGCTGATTTCCTCGTGTCGCCATAGTAGTCCAACCTCGTACCTGTTGTTGATCTTTCTGCACGTTGAGTCGAGTATGGCTAGTTCCTTTTGATCATCGGGTGAGCGCAGCATCGTTGGTTTGGGGTCATCTAATTGGAAGTGCTCCTTAACCATTTTGTGCAGTCTTTCATTTTCGGCTTTGCACGCGCATGTGTGTATGTTTAGGTGCGCGTTCGACGATGAACCGCCACAACGACCTTGTATAGCCCAACCCAATCTAGTTTTCGTTGCTATCGGTTGGCACCAACTGCCTTCTCGAATCTTGAGCGGTACGGCCACTTGCCAATAGTCGGAGCCAATGAGCAATGTCGGCTTCGCGCTAACGTATGATTGTATTGGCAGGCCGGTCATATATGGGTAATCCTTGGTAATTTTCGCCATGTCAACAGTTTGCCTTGGCAGGCCGAGATGGCTCACGGTGTGCACCCCAGTAATGTTAAACGCTTTGTTATGCTGTATGCCACTGATCTTTAACGAAGTTCTCACGGATGCATCTTCATTACGGGTATTGTCACCAGTCCAGCGAAGGCATAATGGATCGGGAACACCTGTCATGTTGAGTTGCTTGAAGATTTTTTCTTCGATGAGGGTTACTGATGAACCTTCGTCTAAAAATGCAAATGTATCAATATAGTTTCCGTTACCATGTATACGAACCGGCAAGATGCGAAAGTAGGGAGAAGACTTTCGCTTGGCGTCGTCATGTGAGTTAACACTACCGCTGGCTGTCGCGCTAGGGTACTCAGGGCTGTTTTGTGCGTTCAGGGCCGTACTTGCGTGCAGGAGCGGGTGATGTTTGGCTTTACAGCCGTCCACTCCGCAGGTCCTGGGTACGAAGCATCTGCGTCGGTGGGCGTTAAGGCATTGGCGACATAACTTTAGCGCACGGACAACATCCCATCTGCAACTTGAACTTAGCTTCCTAAAGTCCTCGCACTGTGCCACTCGGTGTCCACCAGCATTACAGTGGCTACAGGTGACATCTCGTTGTGCGTTGGTTGTTTGCATGTGCGTGTTGACAATCCCGCCTCTTTTCGGAGTAATGTATCCGACTACTTGACTCGCCGCTTCAGCAAGTGCATAGAGCCAGTCACTAAATATTTTTACTATTGGCTCGTGTTGTCCTTTCGGATGCATAGCCCAAGCAAGCTTGTGGTTGTTTGGCAACTTGTCCACCAAGTCTTTCACTAGCGTAGGGTTATTCATATAAGCCCCCATGCGGCAGGATTCCATTGTGGAGTATACGTTGCGCACGCAGAGCGCAAAGTCTATGAGGCCATCTAGTCTGTCTTTTATAGGTGGAACCCTTTTCACCTTTTCGATTAAATTCTCGATTATTAGCTCTGGCCTGCCGAAGCACATACGCAAAGTTTGAATGATTTCCGGGACCATTGCCGGTAATAATAGCTTGCTCTGAACCATTTCCCTGGCTTTACCTTTTAAACACGCTTGTAGACGCATTAGATTCTCAGCATTTGAGTAGCCTGCGATCTCTGTGCTGGTTTCAAGGCTACTAATGAACAGGGGCCATTCCTCCGGGTGGCCATGGAAATGCGGAAGCTCCTTTGGAATGGCTTGTCGTGCTGCTATTTGCGCAGGTGTTGGGGCGGTCCTCATGCCGGTGCCATGAATACTCGTAGCCAAAGTTCCTTGCGAATGTGATAGAATATCATATTTTTTCTCCAGATAACTTTGATTAATCTGCCTCTCTTCTTCTAACATGGCTAGACGTAGCTCTAACTCTGTTTCATTTGGCACGTGGCGGTCTCCTGTTTCGGTATGTAGACGAAGGTATTGAGGTGAGGCAGTGGTTGTTGTTGTCACGTAGTTTGAACGTCCTGCAATATGTGGTGCTGTCACAAAGCGCGGTGGTACTGGCAAATTGGCTGCGGAAGCTGATGCCGTGAGGTCCAGCGGTGTGGTAACCAATTGATTGGAACCACTCGTATGTGTTGCTGTCCCAGCGTAACCGTCAGCTGTGCTCCATGGCGTTAAGCCGGACGGCGGTGCATCCTGTGTAGGTGAGGATGTTGCTTGCAAGAAATGTGAACTAGGTCTTGGTATCATTTCGCTGCGTGCTTTGTTCGAGGGAGCTGCAGCACCCGTAGTTGCGGTGGAAGTTTGCGGATTGCACTTGGCGCAATTCCAGCTCTCGTCTTCTATTCCGCTGTTAACCCCGACACAGGCGAAATGGTACCACTTGTCGCACTGGTCACATTGCACCATACGGCTGTTATCCTTTTCGCTGCACTTGTGGCAATTGAATTCTCCGCTTGAGTCTCCTTGATTTTCCATTTGGAGTTATTTAATAAGTTATTTATAATGTATAATGAATACGTGTACCGCGGTATAGAAAATGTTTTTAAAGAATTTGTTACTTCACGAGCTCGCCTTTTATTGAAACAACTTTTTTCAGTAGTAATTAATTTTATTCTTTTATCAAAGATGACTATACTACTTTAAAAACAGTTGTTTCTTTTGGCGTTTGCAGACGAACTGTCCCTTAACGAACGTTATTGCCTTTATATTATTTTATCACGCCACCATATTTACAGCAAGTGTCTTGTGTACAATAGTAAGGGAAAAACATACATCAATGTGTTTGGAAATATACCGCTTATGTCTATGTACCCACTAAGAAATCTTACGTATGGGTACCCACTAGGAACGGCGGCAACAGGTATTTTTTACATTGAATTGCGTCATTGAATTGTTTAATGGTTCTTGTTATGTAATTATCCTAGAATGTTTAATGTGTTAAATTTTTACATTAGTACAAAGCCAATTGGCGTTCAGCGTTAAGCATTAATAAATTAAATTAAATTAAATTAATACAATTTTTGTAAAACTACAACAAATATATAAAGTATAAATATGCCAAATTAAAGGGAATCTAATTTCCTATTAAATGAGATCAAAATTTTCAAAATCCATCCATTTGTTTTTAATAAATCTTGAGTTCAAAAACAGCTCATTTTGAACTTTAACCTTTGATAATTCTTGTTCATGTTGTCTCCCAAAAAAAAAGGATACCGTTATACCCAGCTCATTGATCTCTATCGATCCCAATATTTTTGTGTTTTAATTTGAGATTTGGAGCCAAACTGCAATTATGCCAAAAATACTGGCCAAGTATATAAGTCCAAATTGTTAAATATATATTACTTTCATTTATTTCTTCAGAGTTGGGTCTTCTTTAATAGGAAAATTCATACGGCTTATGACCAGATTCATACCATGTAAACGCACCATAAAGATAGCCGTAACGTAAAACCTGAACTGCTAAAGGAAACCATAACGCTAAAGAAAATATTTACCTTTTCGGTCTGATTTGTAGTTTTGCCACAAAAAACACCCAAATCCACAGACTTTAAATTGGTTCGGATATTCATTTGCTCTTTTTCCAGTTTATTAGATTTACAATATTGATCAGCATTAAGATGGCGCTCCTTACTTCGTAGAACCGGAGCTTTCAATATCACCTCTTCAGGATCAGGTAGCACAGGTTGCTTTTCATTTATTTGGATTTCTCCAAGATGCAATGTTCCTCTTGGTTGTTCTACACTCAAATTGTACATGGATCGCAAGTTAATAAAAACTTCATCTGGCTGTAGGTTGGATAAATCTAAAGCAGTATTGAAATTACAACCCATTAAAGGATCTGACGAACTCATGTTGTTAAACTCTTTATTCTCATTAACATCTGCAAACCCAGTATTTGGTGTTGCATCTGAAGGAAATATGAAAACATTTCTATCATCTGACGGTGTAAGTGAAACCATTCCCGGCTTGTTTGAAGATTCTATATCACATTCATTAGTTAAAGTATGTGTTACTGATTCATCAGATAAATCCATTCTATCAATATCTTCAAAGAATGTCTGCATTTCTAAAAAAATATGAAAATTTATATTTCAAATACCCATGGCTTTTTTTATCTTACCAGTCGGAAGCAAATCCTTTATAATATTCAAGGAATCCCCTTCCTTGAAAATGTCTAAGGAATCGAATGCTTCGCTACAAGCGAAATCGATATCAAGAGAGTCATTATCATTGTCTGTCATGTTGGCGATAATTTCTTATTAGAGCCTTTAAAACTATACAGTTCTGCGCTACTCCAAATATGTGGTTTGTACTTTAATACTTTATTCTTTCTAATAATTAGTATTTATATTAAATCATACGATATGCAGAAGACAGCAATAGTCGAGAATAAAGGTATCGGTTACTCATGTTGGGGCGATACGAGTACCGGTTACATAATTTCGATACTTTTCATGAGTACTGAGTAGTATCGGGAATTTGATACGTTATGCCAAGTACTGGGTAAGTATCGCGGATACCAAAAATTATCGATGTTTTAAGAACTTTTTTAAGGAAAATAAAATTTAAGATTCATATAAAATATTTGGGTTAGCTGGCTTTCCACAACAACGGCTTTTTGGTGTTTTCACAAAACTATCACGAATTTTGCCATGAAATTTGGCGGCGATGTAAGAATCGTATAATTTTACATTGGCTGAATTTCTTTATTCATTCTGAACGTTTGGAATAAACTTTTTTGTTTACTTATTCTTTAGAACGTTCCTGATGATATGTTAACGTATATTTCAAACACATTCCGGCTGTGAAATGTCAGCTCCCTGATAAACAAAAAATTTTCGGGTTAAAGTGTCACCGTTTTTGAAATATTTACATTTTTTCGAATTTAAAAAAAATCGTGCCTCTTCAAGTGTTTTCTTTAACTGCAACTACAAACCGGGCAATACTTAGTAAATTTTTTAACTAAAATACTTCCAGATAGTTGCCTCTCCATACTCAAATGCAATGTAGTTAAAATATATTAAGGAACCATCATAAAATTAGGACTATTTCTGGATTTTTAACTTTTTGATATTTCTTCCCCCACTTTGACTATCTCGGATGAAAAAAAAAATGTACTGAGCTATAACTTTACATTACATAAAAAAATTGCACATTTCATAAAGATTTCAGAAAGGTGCCACACTTAGGGCCGGTTACTCAATGTCTGGTTAACACTAATCTCCGGTTAAACATAGTTACCGACTTCCTGTTATATGCATGGAGTCGAAGTCGTCGATAACGATGTTTAACCGCAGATAAGTGTTAACCAGACACTGAGTAACCGGCCCTTACTGTTTCGAATAGAAAAAAAAGTTATGGCCGCTTTTGTGGGTAAAGGACTGAGACACGCTAGAATGTATTTAATAGATTTAAATTGAATTTGGTCTTGTTACCGTCAAATGACATGCTAAATAGTACAAAGGTACATTATTGCCTGCTCCTGACATTATTTTGTGTTACTTACCGGAATTAGTGAAAGTGGATTTTGTGAAATTGGACCCTTCGAACATTGTGTTATTAATACTATGACAGAGAACACGCAGTATACGTCGCATGAATATGCGGATATTCACCTAATTTACGGTGAAGCTTGCTGTAATGCCAGAGCTGCTCAAAGACTCTATGCAGAGCGATACCCCAATCGTCGACATCCGGGCCGTGAAGTATTCGCCCGGACCCATAGAGAAATATATGAAGGTAAGTGATTTTTACACCTTTCTTGTTTGCTTGCTTGCTAACTATCATTTTTCACTTTTTTAAGGTCGCATACCTGGAAGGCGTGGCGGCGAAACAGGACATCCTGCAACGGTAGATGTTGAAGCTGTGTTAGAGGAAGTGGAACTAGGTCCATCGACTTCAGTGAGAACGATGGAAAGACGGACGGGAATACCAAAAACTACAGTTCACAAAACTTTAAAAGACCATCGATTTCATCCCTACCACATTCAACGTGTTCAGGCTCTACAGTAAAGAAATTACCTGTCGAGGGTTAGATTTTGCCGTGAAATGTTGCGAATTCATGCATCAGACCCCAACTCTTTTAATAAAATAATTTGGAGCGATGAATCATCATGCAAACGTGATGGTTATTTTAATTTACATAACCTTCACAGTTGGCAGATAGACAATCCTCTCGAAATGAGAGAAGATCGTTGGCAGTACCGGTACAAAATAAATTTTTGGTGCGGTATTTTTAATTGTCAGATATTGGGACCTGTGGAACTGCCGCCAACGCTCAACTCTCACAGTTATTTAGAGTTCCTTCAGGAACGGCTTCCAACTCTTTTGGAAGATGTACCCTTAAACCTGCGGCGAAGACTATGGCTGCAAAATGACGGGTGCCTTGAGTTTAAGATCTCTAAAAGCGTCTTTTCTTAAAAGGTGCCGAGCTTGTATTAGAGTAGAAGGTCGCCAATTTGAGCATATTTTATCAATAAATGAATAAATTTTTCTTCAAAAAACTCATGTATATCTTACTTCACGTGAACCCATCCTTCACACAAAATATTGATAGATGTAGCCCTTGTTATAGACTCTAGTCCGAATTCCGGTAAGTAACATAAAGTAATGTCAGGAGCAAGTAATAATGTACCTTTGTACTATTTAGCATGTCATTGGTCAGTAATAAGAGCAACTTAAATTTAAATCTATTAAATACATTCTAGCGTGTCTCAGTCCTTTACCCACAAAAGCGGCTATAACTTTTTTTTTCTATTCAAAACAGTAAGTGTGGAACCTTTCTGAAATCTTTATTAAATAAGCAATTTTTTTATGTAATGTAAAGATAAAGCTCAGTACATTTTTTTTTCACCCGAGATAGTCAAAGTTGGGGAAGAAAATATCAAAAAGTTAAAAATCCAGAAATAGTCCTAATTTTATGATGGTTCCTTAATATAGTTTAACTACATTGCATTTGAGTATGGAGAGGCAACTATCTGGAAGTATTTTACATAAAAAATTTACTATGTATTGCCCGGTTTGCAGTTGCAGTTAAAGAAAACACATGAAAAGGCACGATTTTTTTAAATTCGGAAAAATGTAAATATTTCAATAACGGTAACACTTTTACCTGAAAATTTTTTGTTTATCAGGGAGCTCACCCCCCCACCTACCTTCCCCTAAAGTTTGGCACGTTACTTTTGGGACACCCTGTATAACGAAAATTTTTGATAAAAAACCGCGTGATTTTATATAAATCAATTTTTTTTTTATAAAAATCAATACTTCAATAAATAATAAAAATTTTTAATAAAAAATCGCACGGCCTAAACCGCAACCGCCCCTGTGAGATAACCATTCTAGTAGCGTTGGATCTGTCACAGGAGTTTGATACCGTCAACCACTCCACGCTGCTAGAAAATATAGAGGCCTCCTCTCTCCCACAGAGGCTCAAACGATGGTCTACGAATTATCTGAGTAATCAACACTTGTCAGTAATGTTTAGAGACAAATCGAACAAACATAGAAAAATAAAGCAGGGGGTTCCACAGGGTGGTGTCCTTTCCCCATTACTGTTTAACTATTATATTTCCAAGCTTTTTCAACCACCAGTGGGAGCCTCCTTACGCTGACGATTGTTCGATAATGGCGTATGGGAATGGTATTGATGAATAGTGTTCGAAAGTAAACGGGTATCTCTCGGAGCTTTCTCGCTTCTTCACTGCTAGGAGCCCCCTACAAAATCCTCCGCGACCTTGTTCACCACCTGGACGAAGGAGGTCAACCAACCGCTGGGTATTCACGTTGATGGCACACCAATTCCAACGGTGAATAACCCCAAATACTCGGAGAAACTTTCGACAGTCTGCTCTCCTTCTCTGCGCACGCAACCGTAATTGTCAACAACGTACAGAGCCGCAACAAGGTTCTCAAGTCGCTAGCCGGCAGTACTTGGGAGAAAGAAAGGGGAACGTTGCTGGCAACATACAAGGCAATTGAATTGAATTACGCAGCACCAGTGTGGTCACCGGAGACTAGTAGGACGCAGTGGATGAAGCTGCAGACGACCCAAAATACTGCACTTCGGACAGCAACTTAATGTCTTCTGATGTCGCCAGAACACCACCTGCATAATGAGGCGAAAAGGCTCGCCATAAAGGAGCACAACACAATGATCTGCAAGCGATTCCTAGCAGGGAGCCATAGACGTGGACACCCGAACAGACACTTGCTTGCAGAGGAGCCTCGCCAAAGCACTTCAGGAGGCACCTATATGAACTGGCGGACGAATTCCAGAGGTTTATAAACCAACCCCTGAACCCGTCAGCTTACCGACAGGCCTTGAACGGCATTCACAGGGAGTCAGTCTTGAGTTATGTAGACTCCAGACATGTAATGCCGTTCTAGGCATACAACCACCTGACGTCGATGAGACGGAGCTTCGTCTGCCGCGGGAGACTAGAAACACAATAGCCCAACTTCGCTCTGCAGGAGGTTAAACTCATACCTAAGCAGATTAGATGCAGATATGCCAAATGAGTGTCCAGCATGCGGGAGACACCCCACGACTCGAAACATCTCTTCGTATGCGCGGAAAACCCCACACAACTAACGCATTTGTACCTGTGGACAGACCCCATTGAGGTTGGACCGTTATTGATACTTCTGTTAGTTGAGATTGACGACAACGACTGAGATACTAACCGATTCCTTATAGTTTCTTTGAAATCTTGAATGGTTCTGTTTTGGAAAGCCAGTCGGGAAAATATTCCTTGAGTTTGGTCCAAATTTGAACAAAATAAAAATTAGGCCGTGTAGAGAAGCCTTTTCCGATCTTGAAAGTGGAAACCACAGAGCGCGGAGTCTTCCATATAAAAAGTTTTACCTTTTAAAGTTTTACCAAGCAAATTTCATTTAGAGGACTCCCTTAAACTCTTAGAGCCGCTTACTCGATGTCCGTTTAGCTCTAATCTGCGGTTAAACATCGTTATCGACGTCTTCGACTCCATACATACAACAGGGAGTCGATAACGTCGATAACTATGTTTAACCGGAGATTAGTGTTAACCAGACATTGAGTAACCGGCCCTTAAAGTCTTAAACCCTGTAAAACTCGTAAGCTTACGAGGCTTTTATGGGAACGCCCCCTTTGTGGAAAGGTGCGTAAAGTGACTGTTTGACAAGTCAACCAGGATTTTACGAAGCAATTTTTGTTTCGTAGTATTTCCAATAACATCCCACTATTGTGTCTCTTATCACTCTTGGCTAAAATGCAATTAAAATGACGAAAACTAGCGAAAAATTGGTCAATAAAGTTAGTGGATGAAATACATTCATTTTAGTCGCGTGTTATTCTTTTAATTTATTTGCATTATTTTATCATATATTTTAGTATACAAACTTCGGCCCCTCGGCAACACTAAGGTTTACGACGTC